AATTGTTATACCCATACATTTTTTTTTTCTCACAAGAACTCCCTCATGGATTTTAAACAAATTTAGTAGGCAGCTTGATTTTGGTCAAACCTTGGTTTCATACTGTTAATTATTACAAACTTTCAAGAAAATTTTATTTAAAGCTTTATAGCGATATAACTTCAACAGAAATGATATAATATGTACAGAATTTGATTATCAGCTTTCTTCATCATTACATGAGCTATGGCCATTGAATGTTGGATCCACATAAATTTGCTTCAGCACAATTACTCTCTTATGTTTTTAGGTTTAGAAAATTAAAATTTTGCATTGAGATTTATATTTAAGATGAGACCTCACCTGGGATTGTTTGTGTTCTGTGTGATGTGTAGTGTCTATCTGTACAAAGGTCCCTTCACTCATATCACCATTGTTACCTTGCACTTCCCTACTTCCTTCACAAATGTAACATAACTTTTATCAATATCATCACCTTGCACTTCCTGGATGCCCCTCAAGGTGGGAAACATCAATTCCTAGAATTCAGATTATAGTCATTTAACCAATGTAGAAACTGGGGGCAAAAAAATTAAGTTTTTCTTTTGAAGTAAAAGTAAAATGATTTGAAAAGTTATATTTAATCTTTATTTTTGAATCACTATCAAATAACTTGTGCTAGTTTTTTGAGAAGAATCAGATAAAAGTTTTTTAGTATAAATATTAAGCTAGTGTCAATTCAGGTGCATATTAGTTAAAATTTATTGGTGTAGATACAGCTGTTGTTAGAAGAAAATTAAAATAGCATCAATGGATAGGTAGCTCTGTCCAGGGCTTACACTTTAGCAAATGACCTTAAGTGGCTAAATGGTCTAAATCGCTCACCATTATGGATCACAGCTGTCTCACCTCTGTCTGCCCTGGACTCGAGTCTTGGGGTCAACCAGTGTGGGTACATGAGAAAGCTTGACAGTAGCTTATCGTTGGTCATTGGTTCTTATTTGGTTTTTCACTGGTTCTTCCTCCACCATTTGGGGCAGCAAGTGGTCTAAATCAAGTGCTGTTACAGATCACTGCCATCTTACATCTGTCTGCATGGGTTCGAGTCTATGTGAGAAAGCTTGCCAGTAGGTTCTCATGGGTCAGTGGTTTTTTTCTGTGGATTTCCCTGTTTCTTCCACCACCATTAATACTGGCTGCCATGTATAGCCTATTGTATGCTGAAAAATGGTATTAAACCCCACAACAACAATAAACAAAAAATCCTCCACCATTTATACTGGCTGCCATTTTTAGCCTATTTTGTGCTGGAAAATGGCATTAAACCCAATTACAACAAAAACACTTTAGGAAGTTTGAATATCCATGAAATTTTTTTATTGCACATATATTTTAATAGCTCATCTTCACTTAATTCACTGACCACTATTCCATTGTTTACTCATTTAAGTACACTTTTGCTTGCCTAATAAATTAAAATTATTCTTCATAATTAGTGTGTTAAAAAGTACCTTTAGCACTTTCATTTTTAATGTCTATATCTAATTTGTTAAGCCTACAAGAGCATCTGTACATTGATGTGTCTGTTATAAATTTCATTTCCACAAAGTAATTCTTGTTCTCCACTAGCTACAGTTACCAAACTTTGTGGATGGCTTGCACTTGGGGTAAGAAAAAAATTTTTAGATTTTGGGGTCCAAAAGGTCTAGGTCACTGATTGAAGTAAGGAAAATTGTTTTTGCACAAAAATTTAAGTTCTGTAATATGTATCGTGACCAATATTTTTGGATGACTCACAGTGAGTAGGAAAAAAGTCTATTGATTTTGGAGTCAAAATGTTAAAGGTCAGGATCACTAACTGAAAAAAGAAAAGTAGTTTTTGCATAATAAATCAAGTTCTAGTTTTTATAGGCTGAATAAATTTTGCACATTTTATTTCCATGGATTTTTCTGTTTTCAAACCATACTTTTTCTTTTAAAAATGATTCTTTAACTTTGTAATACACCATGTATAAAAAATTTTAATAGGTGAATAACCGCAGTGAAACTTGTCATCGTTGATACATTTTGCTATGAATTTCCGTTTCAGACTGTAGACCACTCCATTTAATTTTTCAAGAACATTTCTTATATTTGCAATACTTTTATACTTAAAGTTGCTGCTCTAGCAAATTTCATTATGTGAAAAAGGTGGTGTGTGCAGTGCTCCATTAACTCAAAACTTATTATTTTTGTCAGATTTAGCAGTGAAAAGTATAAATTCTATCAAATCCTAACTGAGCTTCATCCTTGCAAAATTAAAACATTTCTTCATTCTGCATTTAATCCGTTTTATGATTAATCCATTTTATGATTTATGTGATAACAATGCTAATCTTTAGTTTTAAAATTCTGATAATTTAGCTGTTTAAATTTGCATATCATTAATAATTTGCTCATCTGCAATATCTGGGATGCATATTTGTCCAGTTTTTATTGACAGAAGAAATCCACAATAATTTTGATGCTCAAAATTTTGTAGCGTATCGTATATTTGAAAGTTACCATATCTGTTTTGTTTGAGTATTGAAATAAAGGATGTTTAAAAAAATGTTGTTATTAATTTTTAAATTGGCTAAGTTTAGTTAGTTGTTGGTATCACTATTCAAATATTTTTGTTTCTTTCCTTGTTCTAGGTATCTAGAATAACATTTTAAATTATCTTGAAATTTTATGCTGTTGTATCATTCATATATATATATATATATATATATATATATATATATATATATATATATATATATATATAATTCCATCAGATGTGAACTGCAATTTTATTTTGATGAGACATTAGTTTTAAGTGTTTCACATTATCATTTAAAAGTTATGGCCCCTTATTGCCACACACCTGACCTAGTTTTTTTTTGCAGCATAACTTTACTAAAGAATACTTAATTTCAGCAAAGGCTGTTGAACACCTGTATATTAATGAGATACTGAATGAGAACTTCACCAAAAGCTATTGAACACCTGTATATTGATGAGATACTGAATGAGAACTTCAACAAAAGCTATTGAACACCTGTATATTGATGAGATACTGAATGAGATCTTCAGCAAAGGCTGTTGAACACCTGTATATTGATGAGATACCAGACCTGTTTACCCGACCGTATTTGACCGTATTTGTACGGAATAAAGCCCATCCGTACGGTCATACGGTCATTGAACTGAAAATACGATTTGAGGTTGCATTTATTTATTACTTTTTAAAATTAATTTTTTAAGCCGTTTTTCTTTCCGTTTTGTTTCGTTGCATCGTCTCTTCGGTCCGCATCCGCGTCCGCATTTTGTGCCACGTCACTTATTTTGACATTCTCAACATCCGGTCGTTTAAACAAAGGAAAATGCCGCCGACAAGAAAGTTTCAGCACGAAACTGATGATGAAAATGGAAAGTCTAACACAGAAAGCAGCATTTTCTACCAGTTTATTCTACTCTGTGGTTATGCCTTAAACCATCGTCAAAAGGAGAACATTTTGTGCATTGCACTGTTTGCAATTTAGACTTTTCCTGTGCACATGGTGGAAGGAATGACTGTTCACGGCATGTGGAATCGGGAAATCATACAAAATTGAAATCATTAGTGAATGGAAATAGAAACATTTTGTCAATGATGAAAGGAAAGGAAGTCAGTGATCAAAACATACTTCAAAAACAAATAACACGTGCTGAAGCGATTCTATGTGAGTTGATCGCAAATATGAATTTGTCATTGAGTACAGTTGACAAGTTAACGGAAGCAATGAAAAATAATTTATGAACCTTATTTCCATTCTAGTAAATATTGACAAAGATGATACTAGATTTTATCAGATAAATAAGATTGCCTTCACCTATCTAAACTTATTATTTTCTAAGTGGATGGGTGGTAACAATGTCATAATGTTTTATATCAAGTCGTCCTTAACCAAGTAAAATAGAGAATTGGCTTTAATTAAAATGTTATGGATATGTGTGAAGCTGAGAAAACAGAATTTTTAGAGAAAGTAACGGAGGTAAACAACAATAAATTTGGTTATGTTGTATTTTTTTTGTGGTTTTTATCACTATAATATGAACAGGATGTTTAAGTCAGTGGTGTTCAATTTCTGCATATTTGTGCCTTGAAACACAGAATTAACTGAATAACAGCGTCTTTGCAAACTAAGAGTTATTTACACAATATTGTATAGCCATTATGTCGTGTAATACTACACAATGATAATTATAGTATATTGATAGTATCTACTATTTGTGTGCTGAAAATACTGACTGCAGTCTGAAAATACTGACAGGCATTGCTTAAAATACTGACAGGAAAATTTATGGGTAAACAGGTCTGAGATACTGAATGAGAACTTCAGCAAAAGCTATTGAACACCTGTATATTGATGAGATACTGAATGAGATCTTCAGCAAAAGCTTTTGAACACCTGTATATTGATGAGATACTGAATGAGAACTTCAGCAAAAGCTATTGAACACCTGTATATTGATGAGATACTGAATGAGATCTTCAGCAAAAGCTTTTGAACACCTGTATATTGATGAGATACTGAATGAGATCTTCAGCAAAAGTTATTGTCCACCTGTATATTGATGAGATACTAAATGAGATATTTAGCAAAGTTATACTGGGTTAATTCATTTTCATTTTACATTATGATTTAGAAGAGTTATGGTCCCTGGTTGTCCATTTCCAAATTTTGGTTTTTAAACAGAAAGTCTTCTGTTTAAGAATAAGTTGAGTAAATTGATGTGATGTGATTACGATTTTTAATGTAGCTTTAACAATTTTTCAGTCATATTGATACGATGTCTGCAGTGTGGCAGTTTATAGTAATGTCTAGCACTGGGGCATCATGCCGCAGACATGTAGACTGATGTCCCACCCAGTCACATTATCCTGACACCAGGCCAACCAGTCTTAATACATGCCTTTTAATGTTGAGCGTCAAACAAGGCAGCTGTTTGTACCATTTTTTTGTAAGTCTTTGGTATGACTCTACCGGGGATTGAACCCACGACCACCCGCATCCAAGGCAGATGCTCCAACCACTAGGCCACTGGAGCCAGTGTGAGTATTGAAACTATGACTCTTGAAATAATAGTGAAGTGTTGTTCCATCTGTGCTACCATGGCTCACTAAATTTAGTGTTAAGCCCATGTTAGTGGGAAAGCAAGGCATAACAGTCATTGTTAAGCTGGTGTTGGCAATGTCAGCAGATTATGTCTTTTGGATACAGTTCTTTGTGTCCAAAACCCCTTGATATATGCTCAGCATACTCTCTCATACAATTTATTTTGCAACACACCTTTTTGTCCTTATGATCTCTTGGTAAGTTGTAGAATTTGTGTTAAGTTTTTGGTTCCTATATTTCATTTGCTGATACTTGAGAAAATTGTTGATGGATTTTGTTCTTGCTTACGAAATAATCCTTATGAGGCTAAAAAAGTTCATTCTGCAATACTCATTTGCCCCTTTGACCTTGGATTAAAGTCAGAGTTGTAGAATTAGACTTTTAAGTTTTTGTTCTAGTTATATTTACTATGCAATTAACACAATTCATTCTGTGTCATTTAATCCTGGAGTATGTTTTACAGTAATGCTTTGATAATATGCTTGACATGCAAGCCCTGTTCTCATTTTTGTTTTCCTTCTTTTTTATGCCATTGTCATATACATAAACATTTATAAGCTTGACGAATGCATTCTTATTAAATTGTACTTCATACAGCCTTCAATAGATGGTCAAATGACCTCATTTTCTAGCTCCAGTAATCACGTACCTAGGGCATAAAAAAATCCACAATATCCAAATTAATATCTGTATTTAAAGCTACAAAACAATTGGATTGATAAAGCTATACTCATGAAACTTACAGGATTGTATCTATCACTGTCAGTATTACATCCTTACAATTAACTGACTTTTATTTCACACTGACCTGGACAAGATACTGTTGCCTCATGCAATTAATCTCTAGATGTGATATGCCATTTTGATAAAGTAGTTCACTAGGAGTTGTTTTCCAGGCTTAAAGGACTTTGGTCATTTTTTGCATTTGAGTTCATTTTTGAGGCATTGTTTACAGTGAATTCAGTATGGATAAAAGTTTGCAGCTCATCTGTGTGAAGAATGGGAGACCCCAGTGTCACTAAACCTGTTAGAAAAATAAGAACTCGCACTCTCTGATCCCAGAGTCATTTCACCTGTATGAATAAGAAGAGATTGTATGCTGTGATCCCAGTTTCATTTCAGCTGTATGAAGAACAGGAAACCTTATGCCATAAACATCATTATTATCAGCATCAACAGACAGCCAGTAAAAGTTTGCATTTAAGGTTTAGATTATGACACACATAAAGAAACTATTCATTTAAAGTATGCCTGATTCTATTGAATCCTTTTATGATATTTTACTGTTTTTTTCTTCACAATTTATGGGGGTTTACTATCTATTTATTTATCCATCCACCCACCCACCGTGTATTTAAATTTAGTTTTCTTGTATTGATAAGCATTTTCTTGATCTTTTCTATATGTTTTTAATTTAGTTGAAACATATTTTTTGTGACAAACAGACCAGAAGAGCTTATGGGATGGCCCGTCCATCCAATAATATGGTACCGGCAGGACCTAAATATAAATGGTACTTCACAGACAGCCATTGTGGACACTAGTGGCCATCTTGAAAATCTTATTACCACTACTCTTCCTGAATCAATGGTCGTATCAACATGAGGTTTTCACTAAAATACTTTATATTATGTCTTGTTAAAAAAACCTGAAAATTGTATCAAATCTTACATTGAATCTGGATGCCAACTCAACTATCTTAAAAATCTTGTTATTGCTACTCTTATATGTAGAGTCATATTGACATGGGCTTTTCACCATAAACTTTGTATTCTGGGTCATAAATGAAAATGGTGCTACTAGTACATCTGACATGGCCAGCATGGAGGTCATGCTGAAAATCTTATTGTTACTCCTCCTAGATAGAAGAGGATATTAAAATTGGATTTACACAGTAAACTTTCTTATAATTAACCTAATTGCAAATGATATCTGATATTCAAAAAAGTCACTATTTCAGCAATCTTGATAATCTTGTTATCAGTTCATCCTAAATGGAAGGTCGTATTTGTCATTAGGTTTTTATCTTACATCCAATATGGCTGCCCCAAATAAAAATGATGCCAATTTTACATCCAACATGGCTGCCACCATAACCAGTTTGAAAATCTTAAGACTTCAAATGGTGTCGGATTGGATCGAAATGAAAATGATGCTAATATCATACAGTATGGCCACTATCAATATTGGTCATATTATTATAGTTTCCTATGGATAGACTAATAATGCTCTCTAGTTTTAAATGAAGATGGTGCAGATCTTACATCCAATATGACTGCCACCATGACCAATTTGAAAATTTTATTTCACAAAAATATCAGAGATGGTTTCAACACTTAGTAGTTAGAAAGAAGAAATGGTCTCGAGTTCCTGGACAGTACTTTTGGTCAGTTAAGCTCTCACTATTCCAAATCACTGCCATCTCACCTGTCTGCATGTGCTTGAGTCTCCAACTCGGCTAACATGGGTACAGGAGAAAGCCTGCCAGTAGCTTCATGTGGGTCAGTGGTTCTTCCTGGGTTCTTTTTCCACCAGTTATACTGTCTGCCATGTATAGCCTATTTTGTGCTGAAAAATGGTGCTAAATCTTACAACAACAATGTTTTAAAACTATTTCATAGTACCTTTAGTCCAAAATTTTGTTTTGATTTCAGAGAACACAAACCATTTTGGCATGATCCATAAAAATGACTGTATATTTTTAAACTTAGTGTCATGTCCTTTCCATTATAGTTTAGTTTCGGTTCAGACACTCTTTCTTATTGTGTCTTTTTTTTTGTTTAAATGTATTTTTAACACATTATAAGCTATATCATGCTGAGGAACCAATAGCCTTTTCCAAGAACACACCGAGACAGCCAACTAATGGTTTAATGCTATTTTTAAGCACAAGATAGGCTATACATGGCGGCCAATACTGATGGTGGAGGAAGAACCTGGAAAAACCCAATAAAGAACCACTGACCCACGAGAAGGTACTGGCAACCTTTCTCACATTGGCCAAACCTGAGACTCAAACCCACACAGAGGTGAGATGGCAATGATCCATAACAGTGAGCGATTTAGACCACTTGGAACTCAATTTAGTACCCTGACCCAGGTGCAAATGGAAAAGTTGTAGCAATTAATGATTTTCATCTGGAAGTTTTGTTATGACATCAATAGAGCAGATCACTTGACACAGGAATTAATATACTAAAATATAATTAAACAAACCAGACTTTAGATGCATAAAATTTATTCTAAAATAATTTTATTCTACAACACCTCTAAAAGAGGACCACAATCACTTGTGTATAAAAAGAATGTTTTAAATACATGTCACCAAATGTGAAATACAGAAAAAGACTCGCTAAAAATAAATATGAAAAAATATCTATAAATAACAGTTAATTATAAGAAGTATGGACGGTAACAGTTACTTATCTTAGTAAGGACGGCAATTAATAAATAAAAAGAAATGAAAGTATCATATAAAGCTTCATTGATACAAAGACATTATTGATAATTTGTACTAACATGATATTGACAAATAATTAACCACCTGTAATTGACATGATAGTATTAGTTTAAGTTTAGACAAATACAAAACATGACTCCTGTCACTGGAAATAAAGAGAATAAGAAATAAAAAGTTGCTAAGTATTTTTTCATTACTTTTCTCATTTTAAATTGAATTTAATATTTTATTAGGTTTTGAAGACTATATTATACCTATCAATAAATTCACAATTTTGATCTTTGACAAAACTGATCTGAATACCTGTATGTTTCCATTTGATGAAATATTTCAATACACAACTTCAAAGCATTCTCTGCAACTGAGAAAACTAGACTAGATCTTGGTCTACTGCAGACTAGTATGAATCAATACAATTGACTGTAATGGCGCTCATAGAAATATCTATTAAAGGGACAGGATTGTACATTTCTGAATTATCATCATGCATAAAATCATACTAAAACAAAATTGAGAATATATATATATATATATATATATATATATATATATATATATATATATATATATATATATATATATATATATATATATATTTATTTACTATTACTCAAAGGAACCTCTCTACACCACATGCCATTGAGAGCAATTTCTCTAATTAAAGCCCTGCATTTTCAAATGGTTGCTTACATGATGAATGTTATCTATTTGTAATTATCTAAATCCTTCCTAATAATCAATTTTCCAAGCTGATTAGTCAAACATGTTTATTTGTGACCATTTTTGTGTGTGAGAGAGAGAGAGAAGCAACAACATCTGACAGCTGCGATCCATTTGCATTCTGTCCTTTGCATATTTGCAAGTATTCACTTACTAGATCTTGAATGTTTTATGTGTGTTGTTTATGTTTCCAGGTAGGGTAGAGGTGCGCATGTGTAAACTAAAAGATCATCAAAACTGAGAAACATGATAGACCATTGCTGCTGCATCATTTCAAATATGAGATTATGTCATTCAATAGAGTGATCGCCAGTATTAACTCTGATACATATTTTTCTTTATTCCAGTGTATAGACCCTTTTAAAATAGGGTCCAAATTTCCTTGTTTATGTATGCATGTATGTGGAGATGTCTGCTAATTTAAATATGTACATGTATATAAATTCTTTTTATGTGTTGATCTTGATGGATGTACCTGAAAAATATGTTTAAATTTTTGCCATCCAATAGTTTGTTGATTTCAATGTTTATTAATTTACTCTAATATCAAAATTAGTGTTGCTCATTAGGGCTTGGTTCTATGTTGACATACTTAAAAGACTAAAAGTCAGTTGTAAATTCATCGCCATTTAAACGTGTTTTCTGAGATGTTTGGCAATATGTAAAGTAGTGCCAAATATGATTTATATCTAGATAACTGAAATGAGCCATCATTAATTTCCAAGTTATTTAATTAGGACTTAAGAAAGTATG